AAATTTCCTCATTCTTAGCTATCTTTTGCATATTCCAAATCAAATGCTTAATGTGACAGGCAACTAGTTTTTCATTTTCAAGGCTGCTTAAGCATCAAGAAGAAAAGTAATTGAGGGACACTCAGGGGACTCTTAATTCACAAAATGTGTATGCAGAAGAATTGTGGTGGCATCCACAGTGCCATAGCTGTAGGAGACAAGAGATGACAGTGGGTAAGCCTGGTTAAGTTACTGGTTCCATCAGTACCATCCCCTTGTCAGCTCACTGGAAATTACACTTCCCAGGATCTTCTCTGGTGGATCAGTCTGGGTTAGGAGTCATCCACAAAGAGGCACTGTGGTAGGATTTGGAAATCTGAAAGTAAGGAAGGGCAGGGCAATGCACACGTCATAATTGTGAGGCTGCTTCCAAGTGAGTTACCAGAAAGTCACTCAGCTACACAGGTGCTTCAGTCTGAGAACTCCAGCAGAGGATCCCATGGTGTTCCTGCCTGAGGTCCTATGGAACTTTCCTATAACCCTTTAGAGCCTCCAGATGCCCTGCTGTGCCTCATAGTGGTTTTAGCAAACTTAGCATTGGATATTTCCAGGCACTGCCTTTCCTTGTACATACTCTTCCATTTCTTTTGACACTGTCACAGGCAGTCCTTGTTTCATGTATCCAGTGGGGAGAATGAAGGTCAGGGGTAATCTTGGAAACAGGCATAGGTCTGTGAATAATCTTTGTATCTTTGCTGCTTAGTGACTCTGGTCAACCTCTAGCAGTTCTTGGCATACCCCTGTTTTATGAGGATGGTAATGTCCACTTACTCCCATATGTTGTGAGATTGAGAATATAACATGGTCTCTGATTTAAAGAGAAATGGTTGCCTCAAAGACACAATGGACTACTCTATATTCATATGGATTCTACTTCTGGTAGCTACTGCATAGATTGACAATGACTGTTATGCTGGAGTATATCCTGTTCACATACATATTTAAAAAGACTTTTATCTAACATATGTGTCAACAATATTCATAATATGGTACTCAATAAGGATACTGCATCTAGACTTCCAGTAGATAATAGCAGAGATCAAGAATATAGTACAGCTTCCATCCCCCATACTCAACCAGTACACTGAAGTCTAGGGTAGTGTTCTGAGAGAAAGATGATATGAGCATCCTATATGCCTATGGACTCCAGGACCTGAATCATTCTGAGAATGAAGCTACTGTTTTGAGAGCATCTATTATAAGATAATGTGTTCATTCCTACAATTTACCCCATTCCCCTTCCTATTACTAAGACATCAATGTTTGGAAAATACAATATTAAATAGCATTGTACTCTTTAATATAGTAATACAATATTATTATTATTATTAAAATAATCATCTACTTGGAAGTTACATTTGGTGGCTAAATGGACTCTGGCAATGAGCCAGCAGATATGTCCCCTATCCTTGTGCCTTCGAGCTTCTGAAAGCAAAAAGGTTGAAGTTGGAGGTGAACAAGAACAGCCCTTCTAATGAATGTGCTCACCCTTGTCACCTCACAGAGCTACTGAACACGCTGACTCTTCCCCTAGGCTTCATGATTCAATTTTTACTGATCGGAGTCAACAGATACCTGACATAATTATTTTGGCTTACAGTTTGGGGAACCTCAATGCATGTTGGCTGACCCACTGTTTCTGAGCATGATACAAAGCACAAACCATCATGTCTTGTCATGGCAGGTACATATGAAGAAGGCCCTCATCTTGTAACAAAAAGCAAAAGAGAAATATCCCCTTTATGGGCATACCCTCTATGATGTAGTTCCCTCCTAATAAGCCCCACCTCTTAAAGGGTCCACAATTCTTAAAGGGCCATGGGCTAATGATCCATCTTTAAACACAATGTGATTTGCAGGATACAGAACCCAAACACAGACAAGTATTAAGGCCCCATGCTAGGCATTGTGAATATAGATGCAAGAAAATAGGTGCAGTATTCTCTACTCCCCACAAAGCTGGTATCTATGGAAAACATACCAAACACAAATGTAGACAACAGAATCAGAGAAGCCACACCCACACCCTGGAGATGTGGTTTTTAACCTGATAACTGAAGAACCAAGGATAGACAGGAGGGAGGAGATTTAGCCTTGCCTCTCACAGGGCTTTCATTCATGAGTTTAAGACATACACACAGGATGGCTCTCACCAGAAAGTAGAAGATAAACAATTACTTTAGGAGCTAAAAAGAAATATGCTAAGGGTTCCCAAGAAAGAGAAAACAATGCAGCCCAGAGCAGTAAGCTTCTAGCAGGAAGTATAAAGTTCTGCACAGGAATACACCTATAATAGCATGCACAGAAAAACAAACAGAACAATGCAGTCCCCCACCTCCTGACCATTCTTGAGACAAAGATCTTGGGCCCATCAAACTCGACATTGGAAGTTACAGAAAAGGACAAGTGGAAATAGGAAAACAGCAATTTGCACATGAGCATGAATGCCTGTCCACCAGTTTTTGTAGTTGTTGATGTGGAAGGAAAATAGATTGGGAACTGGGTGGATCAAAATTGTTTTCAAGTTCTAGCTCAGATACTTGAGATCAAACATTTGGGAGGATTCTGACAAGGGTGACACAATTTGCCTTCTTACTGTGAAAGGAAGCCCTCAGCATAGGTGCTCACAAGCCGTTTCCTTTAAGGAATTAACTAGCATTCAAATGCTTTGCTGATTTATATAATCTGATTTTAGAATGATAGCCTGAAATGTGAAAACATAGCATGGCATTAAGTAGTTTCATTCTGGTTAACAAAATTATCAATGGTATTCTCCATGTGGTCATGTATAATTCAGGACAAGATGAAGCATAGTGATTGTGCTATTTCCTTAGACACTAAAACTACAGCCAGCCTTCAGGAGCTCCTTTGGCTCTCTCTATCTCCTTGTGACCATGCACTCAAAGAACACTGTTACATGATACAGACTCTATTTTCAGCACCCATCTGATGAGCCTAGTTCAGAGGACCAGGTAGAAAGTACATTAAATATATGGGGCTATTCCTCAGTAAAGCTGGAGCATTGGTTGTCAGGTACCTTTAAATAACATTTTCTATTTTTCTCATTTTTTTTTAGGCTCTGGTGTCATCCAGAAGTATTGGTTTATATTATTTCTTAGTAATTTTTGCACTTATCAAATGTTACAAAAACTTGGGCTGGAGATGTAGCTCATTGATAGGATACCTGGGTTTGGTCCCCAACATCACCACACACACACACACACACACACACACACACACACACACACACACACACGCACACACACAAAAACCCTTTAAACATACCTTCATTTATTCCTTTAGGGCTTACAGTTTACTACTAAATTAAGAGATGATAGTTGACTCATTCTTGATGAACACCAGTCATCTCATCAGATCCTCCTATTATCTAAATGCCATTGGCAGATAAAGTCATTGCAAGTGGACTTCAGTCTCCATGCAAATTACTCAACAGGCTATGTAGTGCAATTATGCTTACCACAGTGGCAGAAAACAGTACATTTGTGAAAAAACAAAGCTCATTTTAGGATGTTTGCATTATTCCTGTAGTGGTGTTAACTGTTATTCCTTCTCCCAGTATTGTTTCTCCATGGGCATTCCCACCAACAGTCCCAAGAGAAGAATTCTAGACCTTCAGAACAGCATCTCCTGAGCACACTTGTTCATTCCCCTAGGACAGCAGCATCCTGGCACCTCTTCCACCTGCCTAAGCATAACTGACTTTCACAAAGCTGACACTTGATGAAGAAAATCACAACTGAACTATAATGATGTCAAAATTCACATATAGGAGAGTTCCACCAATGCCCAAATATCAGCCAGTCAAGACATGTGCAAGTCACAAACTCTTGAAGTTTGATGCAACTCTCTCTCTCTCTCTCTCTCTCTCTCTCTCTCTCTCTCTCTCTCTCTCTCTCGCTCTCTCTCTCTCTGGTTTTTGAAACAGGTTTTCTCTGTAGCTTTGGAGGCTGTCCTGGAACTCACTATGTAGACCAGGCTGGCCTCATACTCTCAGAGATTCCCTGCCTCTGCCTCCAGAGTACTGGGATAAAATGCATGTGACACCACCCACTTGGCTCTCTTAATCACATCCTGAAGACTATTATGTCCCAATCATATATCTCATAACTGCCACCACTTTTGAAGCTTCCCCACAGCCTTTTATTCTACCCACACAGTATAACAAGGATGACCAAGAGAGCTAATACTAGTGACCCCTAGAGGAAGTGTCTCTCTCTAAAGCTGTCCTTATTTAACCTTGAAAGACAGGTTTGCAGCTATGAAACAGAGATCTGATATGGGAGGCGCTAGTACAGGAAACACATCAGACCACATGACCACCTGTTGCTCTCAGCAGTTCCAGCCCTTCCAGTGACATATTCCTTGGTCCCCAAGGCCGGTTAAGGGACAAGAGTTCTTCAAACAATATTCAATTTCAGTATAATGCTTGCTTTTGAAACTTAACCTGTCAGAAGGATTTCAATACCAGAAGAATCACGCAAACCAATTTATGTTTTCAGGACCAGAGGAGCCAGCAGAAATCAAGGTTCTTCCTTAAGTAGTCAGGCAAACTGAAGTTTCCTTATTGGTAATATAGAGTTCACTCTCTTTCAAATTACACATTTCAGCTCCCACATTCCCACACATTGCTATTTTAAAAAATACTACTGAGGGTCCCAGTGTCTCTCCATTGCTATTATTGTATGGAATAGTCTAAGTAATTGTTAAACACATAATCTTTCTGTTTAAAGTGTGGTGGGGAGAGGGGGATGCACAAAAATATACCATGGATTTATATGTCTTCCCTCTTATCTGGATTAAAATCTTTAGGTAGTACTGATTTCCATTGAGAGCCTAAAAATCACTGGGCTCCTTGTCACAGGACAGGTGTAGGAAGGACCCCAGAGCTCCAGAGTATCCAGGTTACCATCACTGACAGCAACAGAAAGCTGAGTTCCTACCTCGGTGACTGGTGAGCTCTCTAGATGCAGAAGGCAGGGGTGTATACTGAAGGTGGCTCTCTGGAAAGGCAGCTTCATCTCCACTGGGAGCCTGTAAGAGTAAAGCAAACTGTCACCACTGATAAACACCAAACCCCACATGTGCTTGTTTACTAAACAAATACATTTCACTGGGATCTATTAACAAGAAAAGAAGTAGGGAATGAAAGGATGAAAAAATACAGGCTAACTCTCCAATGACAGAAAACTAGAAGTCTAAAAAACAAAAAAAGACCTAAATACCTTAAATTCCAGACCATGTCCCCTGGCAGTAAGTAGGCAAAAGGTCACATTCTTTGCTGTTTACCACAGGACCTGTAAGTACCTTGAGTATAGGAAATGAGCTTTGTCACCATCCCAGGAGCCTGCGCAAATGCAGACCTCCGGGGCTATAGAACACTGATTGGTCTATAAAGCGCGGGCTTGGATGGTTTAAATTGATTGGTCTGCACCACACAGGCTCTGGATGCTATGAGATGATTGGTTTAAGATGTGCGGGCTTTGCTGTAACCCTATAAAAGCTGTCTCAATTCTGTACTCAGGGTCCTCAGTCTTCTACCCCTGTGTGGCGCATGACTGTGGACCCCAGTGCACTTGGAATATAGAAGACCTCGTGCTTTTACATCAAGACTGCTTCTCATGAGTGATTTGGGTGTTGCCTTTCCTGAGTGTGAAGGTCCACGCTCTGCGGGTCTTTCATAAGTTTGGAGAGAATGGGATCCTTGGGTCCTTCCTCTATCAGCTGAGATAGAATTCTAGTTAGCTTGAGCAAAGTAAGATACCACATTTTGAGGTGCTTTGAGATAAGAGGATTTGCTGCTGTTGTTGTCATCACTGTTATGCAGAGCTGAAAGGCTAGGAGGAAAAGGAAGGGGGATGAAGGCAGGAAGTGATGTAGACTAATTGTTTCAGGCATGCTCCCAGAAACTGGGGCAAAGGGGATGCTGGCTCTAAGCAGACTCCTAGGGTGAGGCAGCGTGGGAGAGGGAAATCAGGGCTGGCTTATATGGACCTAGTGGCACAGAGGCAGAAGAAAGTAAAACATATAAGATTCTATATCTGGGCTGTGGGCTAAGTATAATATCAACCCTGGAGAAATCCCTCTGGGGTTTGAATTAGGAATACAAATTCAATATTTCATTATAGAATATTTCATACTTCACTATTGAGATATGTATGGATACATAGTGGGGTATACTGAGGATGATAACCAAATCTGAACATGGTGTTAATCTGTTTCTGTACATCTTATACATAGCCTCCAAGCATGCCATATGATAGACTTAGTATGCCTGCATTTTGTTTTATGGGTCCAGGAGAGGCTTGTGGCTGTAAAGGTTTGGGTTTGTAGCTTGATGGATTTTAGATTTTAGAGTATGGATCCTTAATGTGTGTGATGGTTATAAATGAAACATCATTACCTGGAAGGCTAACCTCAAGTAGGACTTCAGGATTCAGCAACTACGAGGGCAACCTCTATGATGGAGTGCAACTGGGCACTGATGTAGCTGTTTGGAGAAGGAGGGGTGGTGCTTTTCCATGCTTCTATAAGTAACCCTTCACTCATACTTTGTAAGGAAGCTCAATATTCTTACTCTTTGGGAGGGAAATCATTCAACTTCCCAAAAGGAAATGACATAGGATGGTGGTTTTGCTTTTTGTTTTGTTGTTTTTTTTTTCTAATTGTGCAGCAGCAGCTCTTTGATTGTAACAAATAACTGTGGCTAGTTATCCTGTAGGGAACTGTGTAGAAGGCAGCTTGTGCCAATGTTCTCAACCCTTCCTTGAACTTTATGTCATTGTAAGCTAATCAGAAGACATTATGACAGCTTTGCAGCTCACATGGAATAGTACCAATGACCAATATGTCCCCTAAAGAGTCTGGATACTTTGACATAAAGTACTTTGACCATTCTACTTAACTGAGATTTCTAAATCAAATGCAACGTTTTTTAATATCCGAAAAAGACCATCTGCTAGAAATAAAATCCTAAGCTTTCAACCTTTCTGAAAGCTCCATGAAAAAGTAAATTTCATTAATGCCTCATTTTTCTTTCCAGAAGAAGAAATCCATTCTACTGGGTATGTTTACCCTGCTAGAAGCAGGCCTTCTCTGCGAAGAGATTACCTGCACAAAGGGAGTCAGAGCTAAGCGGCAGATTAGACCTGCTTGCCACGAAAACCCTTTAAACTTCATTTCTGACATTTGAGGTGTTTGATTAAGCAGCTTTCAGAGTAGGCTTACCGAGAGAGGTCTGAACAGAGCAAAATGAGAATCCCTGTCCCTTGGTGGGATCAGATTGGAAGGAGTGCTTGTCCACTCCAGCTAAAAGGCAAATATAATGAACATACAGGTTGTTTAAAGCTTGGTCCACTGTACTAGAAACAGACAGATAAAAATGCAGCCACAGAGAAGGTGTTCTTCAAAGACTTGCTACACCCCACCCCACTGGACACTTAGCATGCTACGAGCACATGGAGGTGACAGAAAGTGAATTAAAACCCAAACCCTACATTTGCTAATTGTCTCTCAGTTTGACCTGTGAGATCTGTTGTGGCTGACATGATACTTGAAACACACTAATGGTGTTTTAAACATGGGGGCCTTTCTGGGCTTGCTGAAGGACAGATAAAATGAAAGGATAGAGACCATTCAGATACCCTAGATTTTCTTTTCACCAGTGTTTCTGCTGCACCTCAAACTTAAAAATAAATAAAGAAGACATGGACTTGCAACCCAATAGGACATGTCACTGTGCTTTGGAATGTTTTAACTTAGCTGCAGGCAGGTAATGGTGTGATGAGCAGCTTGTCCAAAGAAACAACTGGAAGACTCACTACCTTACAGCAAACACTGCAGAGTTCCGCAGCTGAGAGTAAATGAGGTTTAGTCTTGTTTCCAGCTGTATAGAGGACAAGAGTTTTGCAACTGTCATTCAATGCCAAGTACTTAGTTACTTTTCTGCTCACCATTCACTTTATGATATTAACTCAATTTGTGATAAAGAATCAAGGAAAATAAGTTTTATTGCAAACCAGGCTTTTGGGCAGGATTTGAACAGCTCAGTGTTTTAGGAGACTCTACAGATCAAGATTCCAACTACCTGCTCTTCAGCATGGCTCTATCAAAAGAAAAACCACTAGGTCGTTTCAATGTGATCCACACAAGTATTTTCCACATCATATCCTCAGAAACACAATTTGTAAAAGCCAGGGAGGCAAATGAAAGAAACAGACAAGAGAATCCCTTCACTTTGCACACTACCTGCCAAATGATATAGAACTCGCCTTGAACTTCAGGCAATACACAGATAGCAAAATAAGTATGAGATAAGATGCATAAGTAGGAAACATTTACATAATGTTTCTTTTATGTGTATCAAGAAGAAATGCCTACGGTAAGAGTAAGGAAATCTGGACATGTCCAAATCTCCAGGACCATAAAGATTCTCCAACCTTTGATTCTTTGCCAGTTTTCCTAAGTGCCGATGGCAGAGATTTGTAGCTTCACATTTTATTTTATCTCCTGTTAGAGGATATTTTGTCATGTCTACAATAAAATACCAGTATTCAAGATACATAAAAAATGTCCTCCAGTCAATAAAAATACATACTAGAAGACAACGGGCAAAGGAAATGCCAGGAGTTTCAGAGAAGTGGAGACCCCACCAGTCAATAATCAAGAGAAAATTTTATCAAATTTGCTAAAAGGCCATGAGAGCTAAAATAAGATGGATTTGGCCAGCCATTGTATCACCAGACTTCATTTCCTTGTCCTAGAGCACACAAAGGGACATGAAGGTTGTTCTCTCCTCCCTGACAAGGGGGAATGTCTTGTTGGTTCAAGTGACTTGGAGAGGTAGAGGACATTCCTATGGATGATACCTGGAATGTCCTATGTCCAAGTAGGTAGACATGTGAACATTTGTCTACCTACCTACACACACACACACACACACACACACACACACACACACTAAAACTCCTAACCTAGAGAAAACTTCACATACATATCTGAAAGTAGAAACATGAGACAACTTTTATTGCTGCATTATTTCTAACAGAAAAAGTTGAAACAACTGTCAATGAAATGTACATATTTATGTGATAGACTAACACTTAGTGTTTAAGAGCAATAGCCTGATTTAGATATCTCAATTCAGATAACCTAAAAGTTTCTATGGAATAAGAATGCAAGTCAGCCAAATGATAGATGTTGCATGGTCTTACTTCTATATATATGTGACCATTTGATTTCCCATGTGCAAAAATTAGAGCATATGTATAGAAAACTCATGAAAGTACTTGCCTCTGCCAAGGAGCACAATAATTAGACTGGAGCTAGTAGAGTATGTGTGGTGATTATTTCTGTTGATCAAAGAATAGGTTAGACACAGATATATCAAAATGTTAAAAATGACAGATATTAAATGTTGGCTATCTGCACCCTTAATGATTAAACTTTTTCAACTTTTGAAATTTTCAAAAATTAAACATGAAAACTAACAATACGAAAATTCCATTTCTAGTCCTCAAAATATTCTATTGCTATCAACCCTAAGTAATTTTCTAGTTCTACTATAATGTAGATTAATGTCATCTCTGGTTGTGTTTATGACAAAAAAAATCTCATTTGTATTTCTCACAAAGTGACTTAATATGACTCATAGAATGGGGAAACAAACAAACAAACAAACAAAAAAAAACAAAACAGATGACAAAAATATTTTCCAGACAAGACTTGAGGTATTTGTCCCAGCCTTACATTAGATGGGCAGAGGATCCCCCAAAGCACAGGGGGATCCCTTGATTATTTACCCAATAATGACCTTGATTACTCAAAATTGGAGAGTCACTACTAACAATAAGCCGGGTGTTGGTGGCACATGTCTTTAATCCTAACACTTGGGAAGCAGAGACAGGCATATCTCTGTGAGATTGAGACCAGCCTGGTCTACAAGAGCTACACAAATAACCCTGTCTCAAAAACAAACAAACAATCAAACAGAAAATAACAATAACAACAAAAACAAAAAAGAAAGAAAAATAAAA